CCACTGTATGTGACTAAAATGAGGCAGAAGGCAGTGGCTTTCATGATTAGACTTAAAGGTGTAGTGCATCTGATTTTATAGTCCAAAGATGATTTAATTTATAGTGATGTAGTAAACAAGGATGAAATAAAGCTCTGAAAGTTGTTTTTCAATACTGAGACTTAATTTTGAGGCCAAAAGCTTCTATACAATCTCTACTGGTACTGAAAATATTTTACCAGAAACCACAGCTACATTAAAAAAAGAGATTATGTAAAATAATGTAAAGTGTCAAACTGTGGTCAACTACATAGTTATTAAAAATCTGTATATCAGTGGGCTGTTACATAGCTGATTTTTTTATCACAGAACCATACAGTGGCCTAGGTTAAATGGGACTTTTAAGATTATCAAGGTTATCGTTTGGTTTGGCTTTCCTTTTGCCAGTCAGGAACTAAAGACTACTTTGAGCATGTAAATTCTTCTTCCAAAGTCAGAATAAACCAACTGACTTGCTTCAGTTTTGGAGAGTTACATATATTATGTTGCTGAATTCTCCTTCTACCTTCTCCGTTAACTCTGGTGTAACCCTTGTGTTGACAGAAATAGTATACAAAGTTATTGCTTTTTTTCCTCCTCATATACCTTCTGATTAATGAAATGCAGTCCAGTATTTTTCTGTGCTGATCTCTCATTTCAAAATTCCATACCAAAGACTGGGCTGCAAAGACAAAAATGCAATTCACAATGATTTAAGGATGCACAGTAGGATTGTGAGTGAGGCATGGAGGAAAGTCAAAGAGGCTGGAATTAACTGTTTCAACCAAGACACACAATCTAAAATGATACTTCTCTCTTAAGACAGAAAATGGAAGCATATTAACATTGTTACTAAGATTTGGCAAGAGATCTTTGAGCATTTCTTAAGATGTCTTTATGTTCTGCCAAACATAGGAAGTGTCTTCAGAGTAGTTGAATAACAAAGCTTTCCTACATTTCCAGGCCTAAAGAAAACATCTTTTTATTTGTGGTTTGTAACTTTACTTTTTCCAGCAGATTGCTTCTCCAAGATATTTTTTTCATCTCTGCTTGACTTTTCTAAAACAAAGAATATTGGAGTTAAGTTTCTATTTCCTAACCAGCAGTTTTAGTACCCTGCAAACGTAGACATCACTTAATGTTGGAAGAGACCAGGGAATAAAGTGGAACGTCTTCACTGGATAAACCACATCTCGCCAAAGAAAGGCCTTGTTTACTGTATTTAAACAGTTTTAAACATCTGTTGATTGTATTGGAATGTGGACTCCTAAAGCCCATGGTCTAAAGCATATTTCTGACTTTTCATCTGGAAAGTCAAGACTGAGTAAACTTAAGGACTCCAAATAAATCCAAACACTTATTTAAAGTCCAAGTGTAACTTGGACTATAACTGCCTGTACAACTCAAAGTATGAAGATGACTGCATACATAACAGCACAAGATTACACCCAAAGAAAACTGAAATGAATTGTTTTAATTTATTCTAACAGTTTCAAGAATCAGCAGGTCTTGCATCTCCAGTGTAAAGATGTCTCCAAGTGACTTTTTGGATGTGCATTTTGAATTTAGAAGAAGCCTGAATTTCATGAAGGAAATGGTCAGAATTTTGTGAATATCAGACCCCTTCTGGCTGTAAAATCTGACTGTCTGAGGTCACCTGCTACTTTGGAAGGTACTAGATAGAATTGTTAGAGATTATTTGAGCATGTGGATGAAAACATGTATTTTAAACCTGAGGGAATTTACTCTCTTTTATTCACCTAACAGCACATATGCATTTCTAGTAATTTCAGCACAGCTATTCCAAGTTTTCTTTACAGTTGAAGAATATCAACTTTTGGTCTCAAAAGCAAAGCTTAATGATAACCTTTTCTTCTTTTCAGGCACGCTGATCTTCTCACACTGAGAACTATGAGGAACCTTAAATAATTTTATTACCCAATCCCTGGATAGGTACTTTTAATAACCTATATTTGTAGGTTAAAGAGCAGGAAAAAAATTACAATCATCCAGAACCTTTTGTGTTCTGCTCTAGGAGTGTTCTAGAGCCACATATTTTCCTCAGTATATAGACACTAATCCACCAAAATCAGAGCATTTACTAAAGAAATGTAGAAATTTAGATTATTAGAAATATGAGTCAATATAGAAGATTTTGGAACTGATAGTAAATTATTTTTATACAAGTACTGCACTGATAAAAAATTTAGCTACATTTGTTAATATTAAAATTATCTGTTGGACTGGTAGGCTGAAATTGAGGGTTGGATGAAAAAATCAGTTCTTACAGCAGTGTTGGCCTAGGGAAGTAAACTAAGTTTATCTGCCTGCAAAATCACACTTTCAACAACAGCCATAGTTATATAACACCACCTCTCATCTAGTTTTATTTGAAACATCCTGGGCAAAAAAATGTATGATATTTGCACGCATGAAAAATTTCAGTTTATCAAATCATTCTCTTTTCTCTTTTGAAAAGAAATACATATGCATGTATGAAAACACATTTTGCCCCCTTTCTTTTTTCCTGGAATGGTAAGAATCATTAAACCTATTGGTATATAATGCTTTACAGCAGCACTTAGTATAATCTAGATCAGTAAAGACAGAAACATTCTTGAGATGCCTAAAATCTACTCAGGGAGGTTTCTAACATCAAATGGAAAGCATAGAGAAAACTTTCACAGCCTCATTTTATGGAAATTCACAGATGTTATGCACTGTGCATCCCAAATTCACCACAAGAATGTTAGGAAAACAAGTTGAATAGTCAGTAATGAATCTTTTCAGAGGGATGAAAACAAAAGGCACAATGAAAGGCAATTTACTTCCAATAGTTCCTCAAACCTTTTTAAAAATAGAATTTCAAATTACAACTCTGAACCTACCCTTTTGTTTTTAAAAACATCGCATTACCCCATACAAGCTCATCATCATAAAGATATATTAGTCTATTCTTACTGACAGTGGCTTATTGCTAACTCAAAATTGAATATTGGTGTTTTGTTATTGAAATGTCAATACCAAAAATTGCACATAAGTAATTAGAATCAATGGCACCTTCAGATTTAATTACACATACAGTCAAAGGAAGACCAGTAAGTCAGAAGTGGTTATTATGCATAAAAAGTCATAATACTAGTTTGAAAAAAAATAAATGCTCTTTGCAAAATAGTTTTTAAAACATTATATTATTTTTTGTGATTTCTATCTTACAAAAGCTACAAAATTATCATATGTAATGCAGAAAGAGCATCTTAAGCCTGCTGCTATGTCACCTACAGATGCTTTGGAAATTCTACTCATGGTTTTAACTTTCAGTCCTTTTGCTGTAATTCCACCAAATATACCCAAATTCTGCAAGTGTTTAAGTACATTCTTAAATTTCCATTAAACATAATGAAACATAATCATGGAAATTGTGATTAAACCCATGTAAAATTATAGCTTTAGCCATCAGACTTGTGACTGCTAGTGTTTTTCCCTCTTCTGCTGGCTTTGCAAACTCAAGATAGAAGAAACCTATGTACAACATGACATCTGGGGAATTGCACCAGAACCACTTTGAAATGCACCCATTCTTTTTTTTTTTTTTTTTTTTTTTCCTTTTCATAAATCTGATTGTAAAATGCCTAGCCATCTGCATGGAAAATCATTGTGTCTGGGCTCTTCTTAAAACCTGGAAATTTTCTGCCATTTCTAGTATTTAAAAGAGACTGCCAGACACTTTTTTTTTTTTAATGTCTTCCATCCTCAGAAGGAGCCCTGAAAGCAATGCTACTACTTTTCTCTTATAATCACCACCCACCATCTCATAGGAAGTTTAACTCAAGCAAAGGCTAAGTCACTTTTCTTTCCTCTCCCTTCTTAAGAAATTCAATATAATAAAATGCCCAGCCTTGGGGATCAGCTTGTTACCCAAAAACTGAATAGAAGAATATTCACTCCCTTGTTCCAGGTGCTGGGAAAGCTGCTGATTTTGTTTTTCAAAATGCCCAATTTTCCACCTTGAACATACAAGTGCTCCTAGTGGCACTTCTGTCAAGAGGGGTAATTCTTTTCCCCAACACAAATTTGGAGTGGCTGTTGCATAGCTTGCTGTTGAGGACACATATAAGAGGACATATTTTGAAAACTTTGTTTCACCATGCCTAATATAGCGGAAATGGCCATTTCAATGGCAAAAAGACTAGAGAAGAAAGTTCTTTCCTAACGACAATTAAGACAATTTCAAGGATAAAATTCAGGGGTAGGACAAGAAAAGTGTCAAAACAAACAGCAAAAAAACCTGGAGGAGATATTCAGGTTAATATTTTCTTGGTAACATATTTTTTCTGGTAGAAACAGCAGCCTTCCACAGTACTTAATTACAATAAAATCATTATAACAAAATAAGCCAGCTTCTCTGAGGTATTCTGAACTCTAGAAAACTAGATTTTCCAAATATAGAATACAATTACCTTTCAGATATCATTATTAAAAGCTATGTTTAAGAGCAGGAATAAGAATCTCTTACTTTGAAAACTATATAGCAATGAAAATTGCAAACATAGGCCAGGGGTCTCAAGAATTACCTTCAGTCTTCCTTCTAATAAAGTCATGAATAAACACAACAGTCCCAATAAACACACAATACAGAAAATACATATTGACATAATGAATGCATTCACATTAATCTAGTTTTTTTTTTCACTCAGATTGATGGAAATGTAATAGAAATAACTGAGAAATTCAAAAATTACTTAGATCTTATTATACTTTTCCTTTCTTCTTGAGAGTGAGGTTTATTTGTTAATAAATCCAAAGGAACTAATTGCGTTTATTTAAAGCTGCAAGAGTATTCTAGTAGAATTCACTCTAAAAGTGTAAATTAAACACTGAGCAAGGGTATTTTCTTTAAAACATAGAGGTACTATAAGATCATTTAGACATTTAAAATTTTAATAGCATACAATTACAGTCAATTAAAACGGAACATTTACCTTGCAAACAAGGTTCCATAGGTACAAGCAGGAAAGTCAAAAGAGTTTTCTGCCAAGTTTTCCAGCTCCACGCCTCACTTACTAGGTAAAAAAAAAAAAAAAAAGAAAAGAAAATTTATTTAGTCATCAGTTGTACAGAGATTTTTGAAATGGTGATGGTCTCAAAGAAAATGCCTTGAGACATTTTCAAATTATATTTAGCTCCTGTCCGAAAAGGAACAGAAAAAATTTCAGAGCCATAAATGTGTCTGCCAAGGTAAATAGTGTTAGAGGCAATTGAAACTTCCCAATAACACCAAAAAATAGAGTGCATTCATTGGCACTCAAGGGGAGCAGGCTACTGTGCTGCCTAGGGTAGGATAGAGAGATATTTACTGGACATCTGAAGGTGAAACTGACAAAGCACTAAACCCAAATAGAGACAAATGGAAAAAAATCACTTCAGCAGTAGGATTAACTTTTTTTTCTCTGCTGGTGATAGAACTTGTCACCTCCACTGATTTCTCCATCCATGTCTTCAACTCTACAGTAAGAAAGGAGGGTTTTAGAATGTCTTGTCACATTTAATTAAAATCTGAACTTTCCATTTAATTTAACAGGACAGATGGAGAAACACCTGTCTTACACAGTGAAGGCTGAGGAGTTAGGAAAACTTCTCAATCACATGTATGTCAGGACCACAACATGCCTGAAAGAACCACAGATTGATAGAACTATAATGATACGAAAGACTAACAAAGACTGCACTATTTCAAAATTAATGTGAAAAATGCCATAAGCTCTTTTGATCAACATGTCTCACACAAGCTTTTTAAAAAAACCCAACAAAAATAACAAAATTATTTCTCTTCTTCCATATGCAAATTACTTCTCCAAGACCTTTCCCAATACCTGAAAAATTTTTCCCTGCATGTATACATAAAACATATTGTGATCTATTTGAGATTGCTCTGAAAATGAAAAACATCATATAAAAAAGAAATAAGAATATTATTTAAAATTATTTATGTTCTTAGGATACAATACAAATATACAGCAGTTACAGAAAAGATTAGATATCACAAGTAAAAGCAAACTTGATGATGAAATATGTTTTATCTAACTCTCATTCAACTAGCTTGTTATGTGGTGTACAAATATATGAGCTAATTCAATGATTTTATATTATAGTTTGTGGTTCAAAATGGGCAAGGTAAATGGACTAATAGCTAAACTGCAGAGTACATCTGTAACATAAGGAATTTATGCAATTTGTAGAAGCAGTCTTGAAAGACAGCAATGAACTGTCAGCACTCCAGGGTCTGGTACTGTCTCCACTAAACACAAATATTTCCCTAAAGAAGCTGGGTTGCATATTCACCAAAGCTGTAGTTTTGGCATGATATTTGCATCAATTCTCTAACATCTCTGTAGGACATAATTTCAAGACAAAAGAGAAAATTTATTTAAACTCACAGCAATATTTTTCCAGGTTTTCTCTTCCTAGAGAATTGTAACTATTTAATGATTTTGAAATTTTTTCTCTTTGAATTCTTTTCAGAATTAACACAAAATGTAATGGAATTGGAAGAAGAAAAAAAACCCCAAAAAATTTATTAATAAAAAAAACCATAAAAAAAACAAAACAAAAAAACCAACAAAAATAAAAAAGCGCCAAAACTCCACAAATAAACCAATTCATCATGACTATATTTTTTTTTTTCATTTAGTTTATGCTGATGCCAAAGAGAAATATTTTAAGTATTATAGTTTTTCCCTTAACTTTTGGTTGGACACACAACAAACCTGAAACAAGGGTGAGCATGAGATTTTGGAGGCTGAAAGAATTAAACTCTGAACCCTGCATTATATTCTAATTCACCTTCAAAGGATATTTAGATATCAGATCTAAACAAGAAGAAACAAATGCTCAGGAAGTTCCACCTGAATATGAGGAAGAACTTCTTTCCTCTGTGTGTGATTGATCACTGGAACAGATCATCCAGAGAGGATGTGGAGCCGCTCTCACTGGAAATATTCAAAAACTGGCTAGATGAAATCCTGCGCCATGTGCTTTTGTGCTGTTGAACAGGGACATTGGACCAGATGACCTGTTGGTCAGATGGCCCTTCCACCTTGAACCATTCCAGGTCCTGTGATTTCTCTCCTCACCAAAATGTAGCAGCAAAATGGAGTATCAACATCAAAAACTCCTCCATTAGAGAAGGTCAAGGGTCAAACTGCTGATAACCCAAATGTTGATAACATCTACATCTCATTACTTCATTATTTCTAAGCTTAAAACTCAAGTGGTAGGGGAGGACTAGAGGGTTGTTGTTATTAAGACCCTAGTGGGAATTCAAGAAGGTCAATACAAGAGACTATCAGAGAAGATAAATTTTTCTGTAGCAAGAAACAGCTTCTTCAGAGATAAGTGATTGCCTAACAGATGAGACACAAAGGAGCTAATCAGTTTTCCCAGCTGCAGGATAACACTAGAATATCACCTTAAAACAAGCTGTCCCTGGCCCCAAGCTGCTCTTTAGGTTGTACAAAGCTGATGCTGGTGAAACACACAAGCTTACTAGCCAGCTGTGGAAATGGAAGAGGATAGTCAGTGCCAGTGCGTGTACATGTGGGGGAAAATGGGCAATCATATCGGAAAAAAAAGTATTGTGTGCCCCTCAGATATAACATCTGGGAGCTCAGAGAGCTGCTTTATGAGGGCATCAGCTTAGTTGTCAAGAAAAATCTTAAAGGTAAGTATTATTGTGAATGGAAGAGATAAAAAATAGAAAATACTTATAGACAAATAAGGAGGGGTTACTGCAATTTTCTACAAAATCTTTAGTGGTACTAAAAGCCAGATGATGTTTTATAATAAAAAAAAAAAAAAATCCAAAATAAAGTAAAATATGAATTTCATTCATACACTGCACATGGAAAATGTAGAACGTTCTGCCCCAAATGCTGCTTAGCCTAGATTTTTGAAGGAAAAATTATCTGCAAGAGTTCCCCTCTGGTAACTCTGGAATACTTTTGTCTATTGCAACAATGTGTGTGCAGCCTTAATTAAGATACTGCTTTACAGAAGAGAAAAACTGTCATTAAAATCACAGTTGAAAATTTACCAATATCAAAATCAGCAGTTATCAAAACTAGAAGTCACTAAACCATGCTACACAGAGACAGCCTGGAAATATTGAAGATTTCATTGGATTTTTTTGAGCTACATGCCAAACATGTGAAATGTACTACGACAGTCTTGTTCTAAGATCAGACAATAAACATGAGCAACAGGAAAATAAGTCGTGATCTACATTAAACTACATTGAAAAAATTAAATCTCACAGAGCTAAATGTTGAAACACAACCAAAACATGACTGCTTAAACTGCAGAAAAATAAACACAGAAGATTTACAGAAGGATGATCTACATGAGAAAAAAGAAGATCCTCCAGAGCTGTATCTTGAAAATATAATGAACTAATTTTATCTATAAGTGAAAGCATGAAAAAAAATCTTTATGCAATAGAATTTTGTAAGGGGACTGGCCATATTTTTCTTTGGATCAAATCACAGTTCAGGATTTTTTTTAACAGAAAGAGCTGTTACCCAACACACATGGAGGAGAGGAATAGCTTGTTTTTTAATCTGTTGTATTTCAAGATATTACCTTATAAAGTATGTTTCCTTTCAAGCCCTAATGATTTGAAGATAAAAAAAAAAATCACATAAGCTTAAGGTAATAATAGATTTTTGTTGGGTTTTTTTTTCCTTTTTTTTTGGGTTTTTGGCTTGGTTTGGTTTGGAGGTTTTTAATTTTGTTTTTTTTTTAATTCAATGCATGCTTCAGATTTCTTACAGTACATACATACATATTAAGCTTAGAGACAGTTTTCTACACAACCGAAATAACCAGCTAATAAAAAAAGTAAACCATGTGGGACAAAGATATCACACTTTCTCTGAAATCAAAATCTCCAAGACTTGGTATTGAAGAAGTTAATTAAAAATATCTGCTGCACACCAAGACAAGACCTTCACGAACCAGCATTAGGAATGGGGATCAAAACTCTTCAGAACATTGCTGCTTTCAGTACAGTTAGTAAGTTGTGCCAGACCACTGTAACGTAGAGGCTCCTGTATATTCTCCTGTCTCCATTCCATGCTCCACAGCTACAAGAAGTTCCAGAGAGACACAAAGGAAGTGCAGCTTTGTGAGGGCAGACATTACACTGAAATATCCACAGCTTCCTATTTGGAGTTAAGTGGCATACTATCCTCTCTGGATATGTAGTTGAACTTTAGCATCCTAAACAAGAAAATACTGGTAATAAAAAAATCAGATCTAAAAGCTGACACAGCTGGAAGTATTGAGTTTAAATTGCAGAAAAACTAGATCAAATTTCAATGGAAAAATCCTGAGGATGCTTTAAGCACTGGAATAAAGTGTCTTTGGGAGCTGCGGAACCTCCAATATTTCCATCATTGTGAAACATTGGTAAATATCTATCAGAAATCACACGTACATGGCCAGAAGGCATCACTGGGGGAGGCCAGTGGGTAATAGGCTCTTAAGAACCCATCCAACTAATCTTCAATGACATTTTCAATAATTTCTAATATTTAAACAATACAAACTGGATGTACTTTTTGGTTCATATTTAATCATCTCACCTAACATACACGTCCTTCATCACTTTATTTGAGGTTTCAGAAGTGATCAAAAGTGAACAAAGGCAATATTTTTAGCTTCAAAATCAAGATAAAACTGAAAAAATGTCAAATATTTTCCTTTTAAAATATCCTCAAGATTCATATAATCATAAATTACTACAGTTCCTATTTTAATGATTATGCATGAGATTTTTGAAAAGTAATCAATTTTAGATTTGTGAAGCTAAATTATTATCTCATTTTCTTTCCACAAAGCCCATAAAAATTTATTGATGTTTTTGTTCAAAATATGGATGGATTTAGCAATAAAATAATTAACATCTGTTATTTGCTTAATTTTTCATCATCCTATAACCTTCAGTTACAATGAATGCTTAGTAAGTCTAACATTTAATTACTATTACAGACAAAAGTGATGTAAA